GTCAAGACTGGGATCCTCCCTCACCACATGGTCTTCAGGACCCTGGGCAACCTGGCCTCGCGCTACGGTAGGGCTCCCTCCAGTTCTTCACTGTTGCATGTTCTCCCATTGAAGGGAAAAAGGCTTGATTCCCATCTCAGATAGGATGCAATTTACATATGGGGTGGGGGGGGAAACACTGAGGAACTAGTGATTTTTTTTGTAATAATATGTTGTTCTTCTTTCCGTATAGAAAATTGCATTTGTTACTCAACAATTATATTCCAGTTCAACAAAACTAGTGACTTCCCACTTGCCCGTCATCGCTGTTTATAACTCAAAATACATACAATTGCATTTTAGGGTTCCATCTTAATTTTTTCCTGCTGTTTTCTTACACTTTAAACCCTGCTGTGGTCTTCGCATATGGGGAATAACTTTTTATGTAGTCAGGAAAAGAGTTTCCAGTCTTCTTTAAAAGATTCTAAATTTGATAATACAAAAACCAAAAAATATAAGCCAGAAACAATGGAAATGTTTAAATGATTATTTATGTAGACAGAGATTAAATGTAAGGTATTGGTTGTGTTTAGAATAGATTTATGAAAGATTTAGAAAACTTATTGATTAGAATATTTGTGTGAGATAGTATGGGAAAAATACGGAATAAAAGACACAATCTTGCTTAAAATGTATATAGGAAGTGCAGTGTAAGCGATGGAAGTCAATCAATGAAATTTTATTATTCATTTCATATTGAGATATTTGTAGAATAAATTTGGAAGAAATTCTTCCAACTTTTCTTCTTCCTTTTTCCTCTTTATTTTTTCTTCTTTTTTCTTTTCTTCTTTTTAATCTTTTGTTCTTTTGTTCTTTTTATATATGTGTGTGCTCATCTGAAATATGTATTTATTTGCAATATGTTGCTCATATTTTGTAATAATGATGTTAAATAAATTAAATATTTTTTTTTAATAAATTTGTATATTCTATCAGCTCCATCAATTTCACCCTCTCTGCATCTTCCAAGATTTCCATCAACCATTCTTCCTTTGGAAAGAATGCTTCCCAGCACAAAGGATTTTGGCCTCTTGGAAAAGTCACTTTAGATATTTTCCAAATTTTCTAAATCGTCAAAAAGATTTTTATTTTATTTTCCTGAGGACTAGTGACTTGACAAAGCTGGTTCTGCTTAATTTCACCCAGGGCACGCTAGGGGATCTAACCTCAGGAAGGGCCACACTGCAACAGAAGATTGTGTGTTTGCATACCAGAACCAGCTGAAGTTCAGTCCCATATAGAAGCATCTCCAACAGAAGGGCAGCCCAGAGTTCGTGATCCTAAATTGTAATAAATCATTACCGTCCTCTAACGAAAGGTTGCTTGTGTCTCTTCACTCAGCACTCAGGTGTATCCCGTTTTTGTCTCTGACCTGTGTGTATTTAAGGGTGATGATTAAGTGGCCCATGACGAGCCACATGAAAGAAGCAATATGTTACGGTGAGTGATACTTTTTCTTTTTTGGGCGGGAGGGGGGGTGGAATATCATCATCTTCCTTCCATTCCAGTATAGTCCCTACAACTGCTAACTGTTCCTTAAGGACCACCATCTGAGCCATTCTCTGTGCGCCCCTTCCAAGAGAAGTTTGGAAGGCAATGAGACAACAGGGCCTATTTGGTGGTGGCCCCCTGATTGTAGAATGCTCTTTCCAGGGCGGTTCTCCTGGCACCATTGTGGTCCTCCTTCCAGTGCCAGACTGTGGGGGAAATTCCCATTCGTTCAAGACAGAAGCACTGTTTTTTTGGGGAAAGGAGGCAGGCGGGTGTGGAGGACTCCCTGGTCCTGAATGGGGCAACTGTGCCCCTGAAGGACCAGGTGCGCAGCCTGGGAGTCATTTTGGACTCACAGCTGTCCATGGAGGTGCAGGTCCATTCTGTGTCCAAGGAAGCTGTTTACCAGCTCCATCTGGTATGCAGGATGAGACCCTCCCTGCCCGCGGACTGTCTTGCCAGAGTGGTGCATGCTCTGGTTATCTCCTGCTTGGACTACTACAATGCGCTCTACGTGGGGCTACCTTGAAGGTGACCCGGAAACTACAAGTAATCCTGAATGCGGCAGCTAGACTGGTAACTGGGAGCGGCCGCCGGGACCACATAACACCGGTCTTGATAGACCTACACTGGCTCCCAGTACGTTTCCGAGCACAATTCAAAGTGTTGGTGCTGACCTTTAAAGCCCTAAACGGCCTCGGTCCTGTATACCTGAAGGAGCTTCTCCACCCCCATCATTCAGCCCAGACACTGAGGTCCAGCGCCGAGGGCCTTCTGGTGGTTCCCTCATTGCAAGAAGCCAAGTTACAGGGAACCAGGCAGAGGGCCTTTTCGGTAGTGGCGCCCGCCCTGTGGAACACCCTCCCTTCTGTTGTGAAGGAAATAAGCAGCTATCTTATCTTTAAAAGACATCTGAAGGCAGCCCTGTTTAGGGAAGCTTTTAATGTTTGATGCATTACTCTATTTTAATATTTGGTTGGAAGCTGCCCAGAGTGGGTGGGGTATAGATAATAAATTGTTGTTGTTGTTGTTTGCCCTCTCCCCAACCACCTTCGGCCAGCCCAGCACGTCACCATTTTTCATCCAACTACAGCCCATGAAATACAACTGACTCAACCCATTTTTCTTTTTGCTGTACATGTCAGAACCCTCCTTGTACCTTATACAGAGTTGCTTTTCACTTTAACAGCCATTAGTTTCCCATTTAACTGGTTCTTGCCAATCTTGTGATCAGGTCCCATTGTTGTGCCAGTGGCACTGGTCTGAGTAATAACAGGCCTAACAGTATTTCCACCTCAAGACGAATATTTTTTTAACCCCCTCCTAGGAATTGGGACAGAGTGAAGGGTCGGTCTTCCATTGTGGCCAAGTGTGGACCCACAATCCCCGACCTCCGATTGCTTCAGTGCCAAGCAATCGCTTCTCAGACACTTTCTCTCTCTTTCTCATTCAGTTATGGAACATTTCTGTGCGGCAATAAACTATTACTACAAAAACTGGAGAGCGTGTTCGTTCCCAAGAGAGACAGAAGCTCAGCTTTGCAGCCCCGTCATTCCCATCTATCAACGCTTGGCTGGCGATTGGCTGAATGATGAGGAACCGAAGGTGAGAACCAGGAAAGTTTCATCTTATCACATCCGCTCCCAAAGCAGGGAGTAGCTCCCCTTCTGGGCCGCTGGGATTAGCTTGGAGGGAGGGGCACTAAGTGGCTAGGGGGCAGCAGGGGGCGCTGGAGGTATAAATGAACTGTCAGACTTTGCAAAGCTGGCACCTCTGGGTCAAGTTCATCAATTCTGTTGAATTAATTGTTTTTAATACTCGATTGGGAGCCACCCAGAGTGGCTGGGGAAACTCAGCCAGATGGGCAGAGTATAAATTTTAAAAAAGGTAAAGGGACCCCTGACCATTAGGTCCAGTTGTGAATGACTCTGGGGTTGCGGCACTCATCTCGCTTTATTGGCCGAGGGAGCCGGCGTACAGCTTGAGGGTCATGTGGCCAGCATGACTAAGCCGCTTCTGGCGAACTAGAGCAGCACACGGAAACGCCGTTTACCTTCCCGCCGGAGCGGTACCTATTTATCTACTTGCACTTTGACGTGCTTTCGAACTGCTAGGTTGGCAGGAGCAGGGACCGAGCAACGGGAGCTCACCCCGTCGCGGGGATTCGAACCGCCGACCTTCTGATCGGCAAGTCCTAGGCTATGTGGTTTAACCCACAGTGCCACCTGCGTCCTGCATAAATAAATTATTATTATTATTATTTATTAAACTAAATCATCGCCATTGGGTTTTGAATAAATGTGTACATCGCCCTTCATGCATGAATCTCAGGGCGGTTCGCAACATTGCAATACAAGACAGCTACTCCAGAAAGACCCTGTGGTAGATGGTTATCGGAAGCCACTGAGAAGTCGAGGAGAATTAACTGGGACACATTGCCCTATGTTTCTCCTGAAAAAGGTGGTCATACACAGTGATCAAAAGCAGTTTCTGTGCCAAAGTCGGGCCCAAACCCCCATATGATATGGATCTAGAAAGAGAACCTCATTCTGGTCTGTGACCACCCACTGGAGAACATTTGCACTGGTTTGAAAGCAGCACTCAGCTCCACGGAAAATCTTTCTTTCTTTTTTTTTTATATTCAAAGTTATAACAAGACATCTTATCCAAAAACATATCCTTATTTTCCCCTCCATTTTTCCTCCCCCCCCCCACAGAACCCCCACCCCACCCCACCCCCCCAACTTCCCTCAGTTCCAGTCTTTGGTTTCTCCAATAATGCTATTTTCTGCATGTTACAAAGTTGTATAGATCCTCAAACTGTTTAGCTGATTATTATCAGTAAAAAAATTGTGGATGTTTATTCAAAACTTGCCAAGGAGTCCAAATCGCTTTGTTGCGTCTTCAGATACTTTGTGAAAGGTTCCTATTCATCCTTAAAGTCATAGTTATCCTTGTCCCGTAGCTTGTATGTCAGTTTTGCCAGTTCTGCATAGTCCGTCAATTTTTCTTGCCATGATTCTTTAGTTGGGGTTTCTTCAGTCTTCCATCCTTGTGCTACCAGAACTCTCGCGGCTGTTGTCGCATACATGAAAATGTTTTTCAACTTTTTTGGCAGGTCTTTCCCTACAATCCCCAACAAAAATGCCTTGGGTTTTTTAACAAATGTTAAATGGAACATTTTCTTCAATTCATTGTAAATCATTTCCCAAATTTTTTTAATTACCTTACAATCCCACCACATATGATAAAATGTTCCCTCCTTTTCCTTACACTTCCAACATATATTTGAACTAGTTTTGTACATTTTCCCTAACTGCACTGGTGTTGTATACCATCTGTACATCATCTTCATGTAGTTCTCCTTCAATAGGGAACAATCTGTAAATTTTAAGTCAAAATTCATGGAAAATCTTTCCATGTGCATCCTTTTGCAGGTGAAGGAAGCCTTGATGAAAGCTCAGTGGCCTATGCTAGGAGCTCTGGTCCGCTGCAGACCAAAGCAAGACGAGATCATCAGGAAGATCCCACAAGTCCTCCGAGACAGCAAGATTTTGGATTCTTTCCTCATTGCCAAAGTAAAGGGATATTTTTATATATATACAAAAAAACACAACCAATTTTATAAGTTGTGCGTCTTTGCTTTTCAATTTGTGTTATTCTATGCACTGTGACTTGCTGTTATTATTATCAGTTACATTTTAGAACTTATTTATTGCAATTGCTAAGAGTGAATTTCTGTTTAAGTATTATTATTGCTGATGGTTT